TGGAGTAACAGAGCCACTCCAATGGAAGGCAGGGATGCAGCTCCGGAGGCAGGAAGAAGAAGGAACGAATTCTGCCATAGAACCTTCCAAATCAAAAGGTACTAGAGGCAGCTGGACGTTTCTGTCCAGGAGTTCCCCTTTCTGAAGGAAACCGGTGTTACTAGATTCTTGTGTGTCTTTCCAGAAACAATGGATGCATATATAAGCTAAAAGGTATTTAATGCATATTTTGCTCACTTTTTATCTATGTGAGCCTGAACATTGTTCTGTACCCCACTTTCCTCCTGCTTTTTTCCTAACAGTAACTCTTGAAGATTATTCCATATAAATGCATAGTATCCTTGTTACAGTCCTTGTAAGAAGAGAAAGAGACACACACATAATAAGTCACACACATAAAGAAGATAAACCGATGAACAAAATAGATCCACAGACATAGAACCATGAACAGGCTGATGATGTACAGAGGGAAGGTGGGGGTGGGGTGTGTATGTGGGGCAGGGTGGGGGGGAGAGATTAACCAGGGGAACTTATATGCATATATGCTCAGCCCATGGACACAGACAATAGTGTGGCAAAGGCTTGGGAGGGGCGGGTGCGGAGAAGAGGGGTCAATGGGAAAAACAACAAAACAAAGGGGACATCTGTAATACTTTGAACAATAAAAGTCAATTTTTAAAAAAGGCCAAGTGAGGACGCAGTGAGAAGGCAGCATCTGCAAGTCAAGGAAAAAGGACTCATTGGAGACCAACCCTGGATCTTGAACTGTAGGAAACTAAATTTCTGTTGTTTCTGGGGTTAGTTAGCTGTGGGGCCTATGACTGCCTAAGCTTTGGGGCTGTTTCTTAGTAGGGATGATGGGGGATTTCTAAGAGGTAAGAAATAGTGGAGGGTTAGGGAGGGAAGATAGAAGTTGGGATAAGGGGAGGAGAGAAGAAAACCAAACGTATGATTCCTTCCATGCCAGTTCACAGATTCAGTTAATTTTGGAGACTTTTTCCGATAGCTCAGTGATATAGACCTTTTTGCCCACATGATGGCACTAGCTGTTTAGAAAACGGCCTCGCTAACCTCAGAAAGCCCGCTGCAGCACTCCCGAATTTGTGGGGAATGAGCTGCAGCTGACGTCTAGGGCAATTAATAATGTATTAGGAAATTTACTAACAGGGATAATCAACGTGGAGTTAATTAGAAAGCAATTGCAAGACTGGGGAAGCGAGGGAGAAATGAGCGTGTGGGGACGCTGGCTCTCACCATCAGGACCAGGGCAAGTTTGGGGATCACTGAAGGCGCTAACCTAGCAATGAGCTGTTCTGGTTCTGCTGCATTGCCAGCTCCAGCTCCTTCCCTGGCTGAAGAAACAAACAAGGTGGCATGGAGAGAGGGATGGTCCTGGGACCCAGGAGGCCGGGTTCGTAATGCTCTTTCTGCAACTAACTCCCTCCCGTGACAATGAACAGGGCGCTTTGTCCTCTGGGGAGACTTTCTCACCTATAAAATGCTTCCATTGGGTCAGAGAACCTCTAAGCCAGTGGTTCTCAACCTTCTGGCCCTTTAAATACAGTTCCTCATGGTGTGACCCAACCATAACATTATTTTCGTTGCTACTTCATAACTGTAATGTTGCTACTGTTATGAATCGTAATGTAAATATCTGATATGCAGGATGGTCTTAGGCGATCCCTGTGAAAGGGTCGTTCGACCGCCAAAGGGTCGCGACCCACAGGTTGAGAACCGCTGCAAGCCCTAGCATTCAATTCGATGTTAGAAGACAAGAGTTTTGCTAGCTGGGCATATATAGATTCATGCTTATATTTGTAATCATAATGTCAGTAAGCAGCATCTGCTGGATGATGATAACAGCACAAAATGCTGTGCTCACACACTCAGACCACAGTAGCGGGAGTAGATCTTGATTGATATCAGCAACCAGAGCTGGCTGTCTGGGAAGAAATTGAATTTGGAAAGGTCTCTTAGAAGGGCCTACAGGGAGCCAAGGGGAGTGTGTGTGGGCAGCTTGCTAAGGAGGGATTGGGGTCTGGAGGGAGAGGTGGGTGCCAGGAGGAACAGTGGGGTGTAGGCGCCCAGTGGGAGCCCGGTCTGTGTAGGGCCTGCTGGCACTACTAGGATTAACCACAGCTAATCACTCAGTGGGAGCGCTGCGCTGGAGGCTGGAACCTGGCATTGAGTCCTTCAAACTCTAGTTTGCCCTTTTCCACTTGCTAAATTGGCCGAGATCTGTCAACAGTGTTTTTATTTTTAATTTGCTTGGAACAACGTAGACTCTCAGGTAGCTCTGACTTTGCTGTTTCATGATGGAAGTCAAAGTTTGCTTCAGGTGGAATTTGTTGTGTGGAAAAGATTCGAAACAAGAACAGGTGGGTGGCATTTTAGTGGCCAGGCAAAGGGAGAAGGGCCCCTCACTCGAGTTGTTTGTCTTGGTGATCCAGTGGAGGACCCATTTCACAGCTGAGGATAGGTGATAACAACAGGGTTTCAACATGAATTGGAGAAAGAGCCCCCGGGTGTAATGGAGAAGAACAAGAAAATATTGGAAATCTTGCCCTTGAAGAATCTGACATATACAAATCCAGACTTTTATGAAACAAAACAATGAGAAGAGTTTCTCTTCTTAGGCACTCAACATTTTTGTCTTCTTTTAAATTCATTATCAACACTTGTGTTTATTTATAAATCTTGTGATTTTTCTATTTATAAAAGCAATCCATGACTGATAAACATGAAACAACACAAAAATCAATGGTTAAATATGATAAAAAAAAAAAAAAAAGAGAGAACTCTCTCCCATTATCTGGTCTGATCCTCATGCCCTGTGCCCCATGGACTGAATAATGTTCTTTGATGGGTCTCTTTGAACACTGACGTCTCAGAAAAATTGAAAAAGATCTCCTTTATGAATTTTTGAGCTCAGAACATTTTTTATTTCTGGTTTGGAGCTAAATGGTGACCAGCTGACCCAATTTGCCTTGGACTTTCAGGGCTAAATCCAGGAAGGTCCTGGGAACATTGGGTCGGTTGGTCACCCTGGTGTCACTAAACTTCTAAGGCAGTCTATGGACTAAGCCTGATCCTTGGAAGCTGGCACCTGCTACTTTCCCCCAATTATTTAAGATTTGATTTTCCCTGTTTCCTTTGAAATAAAGCTAGAAAATCTGGCCCTTTCCTTCTCTTTCTGTGAGTTCAGTGGAGATGGAGGGTTCTGGAGCATGGAGGATGGACACAAAGGGCATCTTCTCTCATGTCAGCCACCTGTGACTCCTCTGTACTTGACCCCATTGTTCAAAGAGGACATCAAGGCACATCCTGGAGGCCCTCTTCCTGCTGGCGGTCCCTGGCGTATGTCTTAGAGATTTGCTGACTTGAACATGTGTGCTGTCAGTCAGGAAATACTCTGTTCCCACCTGCCCAGTCTCACACTGTCACGTGAACCTCAGGTGAAGGTTCCATCCCCTTGGGCATAAAAACACCAAAGCTCCTAGAGATCACAGGCCAGTTCCCCTCTCTCTCAATATTATTGCAATGGCTTCTGCCCTGTCTTGAGTTTATTTACTGAGCAGAAACTGTGTCCCCAGGACTGTTGTGTGGCTGGATAGGCCCAAGTGCAAACTAGTGGGGATATAAGAGGAGCATCTAATAAGGGCTGCAGAGCATGGAGATGCACCTGCC